ATTCTACTGCTAGGGGACAATTCTACTAATTCTGGTAACTGCTTTGCCTGTTTTGTTTTGGGTACTATAGATAACTCAAGAAAGATCCAATGAATGAAGCAAATTACTCTGAAGTGTCTGAGTTTATATTCCTGGGATTATCAATCTACAGGCCAACACAATACTTCCTCTTTGCATTTTCTACAATATCATATGCATTTATTTTTCTAGGAAATTTCTCAGTTGTGCTGACAGTTATCCTTGACCCCCATTTACATTCACCCATGTACTTCCTTTTAGCTAATCTTTCATTTGTTGACTTTTTTTTGAAAGTAATTTTATTAAATTATAAAAGTTTCCATTTCCGCCCCACCTCCCAACACCCTCCCACTCCCCCCACTCCCTCTCCTCCTCCCTCTTCGTCCCTAAGGGCAGTCAGGGTTTCCTGCCCTGTGGGAAGTTCAAGCTCTTCCCCCTCCCTCCAGGTCCAGGAAGGTGAGAATCCAAACAGACTGGATCCCCAAAATCCAGTATATGCAGAGGAAACTAGAGTTTTACTCAGCGGTAAAAAACAATGACATCTTGAATTTTGCATGCAAATGGATGGAAATAGAAAACACTTTACTGAGTGAGGTAAGCCAGACCCAAAAAGAGGAACACGGTATGTATTCACTCATAAGTGGATTCTAATCATTTGTTGACTTTTGTTTTTCAACCTCAACTGTCCCTAAATTGATTTCTGATCTGTATTCCAGTCATAATATCATTTCATTCCAGGACTGCATCTTTCAGATGTTTGTCCTTCATGTCCTGGGGGGATGTGAGATGGTGTTGCTGGTGGTCATGGCCTGGGACAGATATGTGGCCATATGCAAGCCCCTCCACTACCTGACCATCATGAGCCCACGGAAGTGCATTTTGCTTCTGATTGGTGCCTGGATTATTGGTCTCATTCATTCAGTGACTCAATTAGCTTTTGTCATCCACTTGCCTTTTTGCAGTTCTAACGAGATAGACAGCTTTTACTGTGACCTTCCTAGGTTCATCAAACTGGCCTGCATAGACACCTACAGGATGGAGTTCTTGGTTACTGCTGAGAGTGGATTAATTTTAGTCACTACTTTCTTCTTACTGATTCTCTCCTACATCTTCATACTATTCACTGTATGGAAACAATCCTTGGGCAGTTTGTCTAAAGCCCTCTCTACGCTTTCTGCTCACATCTCTGTTGTTGTTTTATTCTTTGGACCATGTATTTTTGTGTACGTATGGCCATTTCCTACAATACCAGTGGATAAGTTTCTTGCCATTTTAGACTTCATGATTACACCCATCCTGAACCCTGCCATTTACACACTGAGGAACATAGACATGAAGGTGGCAATGAGGAGACTGAGTAAGCAGCTCCTGAGTAGGAAAAGTGCCTGCTAAATTTCTCAGAAGAATATGCAACCTGAATACTCTATTATAAACACAAACATTAAATGACCTCTTCTACTTTGATGAAATTTATTTTTCCTACTGCAACAGCTTGAAAAACTTAAATAATTTATTTCAATTTGACAATGAAATGATCTCATATTTATTGGTTACTAGTTATATAATATTACATATGTATTATTATCATTTATATACTACATTTTTGTTATTTATTTACCATAAATTTACTTGTTATTATGAAATACATATTTTAGACTCTTTAAAAAGCACTAGAGGAAATGAAATGAAAGTAATAAATTATCTACTGTTTTAACACCAAAAAATTCATCATTTCCTTTCCAATGTTTCTTGTACTATTTTTTTTATTTGAACCTTAATTTACTCAAGCTGACCTCAAAACTCAAAATCCTCCTGCTTCAGCCTCCTGAGCACTGTGATTAACATGTGCTTGATCACATTCTGCTTTCTCGCATTTTGTGGAGTGAAAGACAAGATTGTATGGCGTGGGTGAAGGTCCGCAGGAAGAAGAGACAGATGTAATCTGGACTCTTGTGGGAAACAGGGAGTGAAAGGGGCTTCAGAGAAAAAGAAGTAAGGTAGAAATCCCCTGAGCTAGGATATACTTACCAAGGGTGCATTGAAGAGATTTTATGTAGGAGCTGGGGGCGGCATGTTTTTGTTTGTTTGTTTGTTTGCTGGTGGGGATCCTCTGCTTCAAAATCTAGCAGCTTCAGGAAGAAAATGATGGTGTTCAAATGGGGGGGTAGTGAGAATGGAAGAGGAAGACAAAGAGCTTAAATTTATATGAGTAAACAAGGGAGAGAAGAGGGAAGGAGAGGGAGGAGGAAAGAAGAGGGGAGAAAGGTGGGGGAGGGGAGTAAGGGTTGCAG